AAAAATCTGAGATTTTCCATTGAACTTCATATTCATTGTATTAAGTATATGTTATGCTGTTAGAAATGGATGTTGGTCAAGCTCCCACACTTTTTTTAAATTAATTGCTGGCAGGCAATGTACATGATTGTATCCACCCTGTCATGGACACATTCAAAGTAGAGTAAATACATTGTAATTAAATAGTGATTATAAAATGTACATTTTCAGAAAGCTATTTAGTCCCTTTCTCAACAAAATATGTCAGTTAATCCAGTATTTGGATAAATAATAAAATGATGGTCCGTATCTCCTTCCTGTCACGAACCGTGTCCACCCTGTCATGGAACTTGCTGACAGGGTGGACATTTTTGGCTAATATTAGCATTTAATTAGCACATGGTGGACCTTCAGTTAGCAACATGATTCAGTTAGCAAGGTGACTGTGTACTGTTTAACAAATATATTTTGAATTTCTGAAAGGTTTTTCTATTAATTGACATTTCACTGTGACATAGTGGACATGTTAAGCTTGACAACATCCAACTACACACATAATATGATTACAATTACGAAATATAAGTTTAAATACTTTAAACTTCTGCAACTGTCTCAGCCTCCATTGAAGAATACAACATGGTGGTAGTAATGTCACTGAAAAAATCAGATGTTTTTATAGGGACAGTTACCCCATAATGAGAGGGTGGACAGCAATGTCAGGGACACACGCAAAATGTTCAATATTATTATGAAAATAGAATATACATGATCAAAATGACTCGTTTTATCAAATAACTCGTTGTGGACAATAAAACCATATCATTTAAAAAAAATGTAGTATCATTTAACCACTTATTACACACACTGCAGTTAGCAGAGCAGTGTGTGCACATGCCAAAATCACGTACATCCAATGAAAAAATATGGTTACACGGTATACGGTATACGATACATGGATTCAGAACACACATTATATATATTTAATGTATTTTTACATTTATTTTCAATAACATTAATATATTTATTAATGTCTGTGTCTGTGTGGGGACACATAAAATAACGAAATAATAACATATAAAATAAAATAAGAATTAAAATAATTAAAAAAACTAAGAATAAAAAACAACTAATAAGATAATCAACTAAACAAATAAAAAATACAAAAATACAACTTTTATATATTTAATAATTAGATAAAAAATGATACTATTTTCAAAATTTGAATAAATTGTTTCAATATAATACAATTATTAAAAAAAACAAATAAATAGTACAAATTATCATTACAAAAATTATGATAATACAATTAAAAATAACACGCTTATTATTTAATAAAAAGCGGACACAGTTTGTGTTTTGGCCTCAGTCATGTACAAAGCTGTTCTGTTTGCAGCTGTAAGAAAGAAACACACACGGAGGTACAGGACATTTTGTGTTTTTATACCCATTATTATTTTTGTGAGTTTGGTCATAGTCGTGCGATCCAGTGAGTCCAAAGGAAAGCAACAGTAAAAAGTTGCAGTTGCGTGGTTGGTCTCCAATTTGTAAAGCGCCCTTTATATAGAAAGCTCTTCAGTTGTATAGCATCTGCGCCGCTGGTGTAGTGGTATCATGCAAGATTCCCATTCTTGCGACCCGGGTTCGATTCCCGGGCGGCGCACGTCTTTTGCTTCGGTAACTTTCAGATAATGTCACAGATACATGTCGCTCCGGGAATTGATGGACTGTATCAAATATAACGGAACTTCTAAATCACCCGTTATAAGACATATTATCTTTTAGTGTCACTTGCTTGGTTCTATGCATTTATTATTCATAATATTCAGTCCAGGTTATTTCTGATGGGTTACATGGTTAACCTATCAAAATTGCACTGTTAAGCATATGGCGGATGGAACATGACAATAGTATAAATACATAAATGCTGGAATAAATGTATGAATAAAAACATAAATAAATATGGAGTTAAATAAATACAGGAATAATTTCAGTATTTTTAAAGCAGAGTCACCAGCCTCGTTGGTTCCAGTGTTGTAGTCAAGTCACCAATTCACGAGTCCAAGTCACTCTCGAGTCACCACTCTTCGAGTCCGAGTCAAAGTCCGAGTCACCCAAGGAGTGTCCGAGTCGAGTCCGAGTCACCATTACCTGTGTTCGAGTCCGAGTCCAAGTCCGAGTCACCTAAGAAGAGTCCAAGTCAAGTCCGAGTCACAAGTCTTCATGTATATAATCTTCGTGGATATATGTGTTGAAATGTAGCTGCTCCTCTACATTGCTTTTATCCTTTTAATCATGTTATATTAATCTGTCTATTTAAATGCTGTGAAGCGAGTTTGGCTACAATTCTTGTAATAGGTGCTATTGTGGTGCCGAGAGATGGGAGTCGGAGGCGGGGTATCGAAGCTACAAGCTAGACTTTTATTTAGCATCAGAACACACAAGTAAACAACTTCATGGACGGGAAGCGAAGAAGGGTGGGAACAGGAAGTCCGGCTCACTAAAATGTCCGTGCGGAACAATAACCCAACCCATAGATCCGTGGGTGAATAATGTCAATCACCACACTATACAAATATAAAGCTAATTATTATTATTATTATTATTATTATATATAAATAAACTATATTTAAAATGAGTTAACCTTTTAGAGAAGTGATTATATTTGTATGCCAATATTTTCCTATGGAAAAGTTTTCATTTTGCACTTTTATGTTGATAGTAATAAGATCGGGACTCTTATTTTGAAGGAACTTTTACCGGTTAAATCGGTTTACTAATAAAGATTTAGCCCCAGAAAGCACATTGCTACTTAGCATGCAAAAGGACGTCATTCTGCATGTTAAGTAGCCATGTGCTTTCGTGTTATCGGCTGAATCTTTATTTATTGATTAGATCACGTTACTCTGATGATAGTGTTCAAGACAGTTATTATGTCTGAACTCGATCCTTAGAGTAATGTGTTACGGAGCCTTCTCTTCAATATTGTTTCCACATAACGAGCATTTTGCGCTGCTCTTTTCCAATGTGGAAGCAGAATGTGTGAAAGCATACAGCACGATGCGGGGTGTGTCTCTAGACATCTTTAGACTGGAATAGCGGAGCCCAGTACTGAACTCGCCTCGCAGGTGCACACGCCAGGACAGAGGACATCAGACTCCAGAGAAAACTTGCTCGAGTCCAAGTCCGAGTCATCATTACCTGTGTTCGAGTCCGAGTCCAAGTCCGAGTCACCCAAAGAGTGTCTGAGGTCGAGTCCGAGTCCAAGTCATCATTATCTGTGTTAGAGTCCGAGTCCAAGTCATCATGCACGAGAATTCATAAGTCCAAGTCTGAGTCGCGTCAATCAGTGGGCGAGTCCGAGTCGAGTCACGAGTCACGAAAATCGGCACTCGAGTCCGACTCGAGTCCGAGTCCAGGACTCGAGTACTCCGTCTCTGGTTGGTTCCATAAGATATGAGTTGGAATTGAACCAGTGACCTTCATGTTGATAGACATACCCCTTGAGCTAAAGCCACCTGTAGAGATCACATAAAAATCTTTACAATTGGGCTTCTACATTCAAAGAACATAATCTGTTGAATGTAGAAGGAATAAGAAGTGGGAAAAAGATAACAACTTGGACTCCACTCAGATACAGTTTAGTTTTTCTCCAGTCTTCCTCCAACTAAAGATGGAAACAGACTGGAGATGGATTTAACAACAATGGCAGGGTTCGGAACACTCGTTTTCTGTTTTTGGCCAGCTATATGTATTGTCCAATTCCAAAATATTTATTTAGCATGTGTTGATCTGCTCAAGTGCTCTGTCACTGTGTTTCTTCTTGCTGTGTACACAAAGATTCCAAATTGTATTATAGCAATTCAAAGATATTGTTAAAGACACCTCACTACGTACAGTTGTTCAAACTTGTCAGAGAAATGTAAAGTAGTTATTAATGTTGTTGTATCCACAGAATACAAGGCTACAAACAGCATTGCGTAAAAGATGCATGCCGCTTTAATGCACATTGTGTGCGTAAAGGTACAAATACACTTGAGAAAACCTCACAGCAACAGATATAGTTGGGCGATCATGCTTTAAAACTATATATGGCCTATAAGTCTAAGCACCAATTTAACATGCAGCAACCATGCAGCAACACCCACCCAGTAATGACACGTTTGGTCTTCAGCTTCTCAAAGTAATTTCTGATTTAACATTATATCTATGTGAAATCGTCATCATCATCAGAGTAAGATAAACATGTTACCCTTGACTTGCACAGACTAAACATCTGTTTATTTCAATATTTATTTATTTTATTATTTATATAAGCATTTATACATTACTGTCTTAAGCAATACATTTAGACATTATTGTATTTAGGAATGTATTTTATTAATTATTGGTAATGCTTTTATATAGTGTAAATGCCTTTTTTCTATTTGTAGAAATACTTTTAACACATTAAATTATTCCGTGTTTAGATAGACACTTATTTGCAGTTATTAACACATAAAATTCGCTTTTTTCCCCCCACATTTTGATACTCTGGTCTAATCGTTCTAACTTTGTGTGAGAAGGAGAAAACATACATTGGCCAGTACGGGTATCGAACCCGCGACCTTCGCGTTATTAGCACGACGCTCTAACCAACTGAGCTAACCGGCCATGGGAAACCCCGTCGTGACGTCATTAAAGAATCAAACAATAAACGAAACCTACAGAACCGAAAAGGAAATCTTCCTGGCTGGTAACTCCTTACGAACGGTAAGATTTCATAGTTTAAACATGTTAATGCGTTTTATTTTGCTAGATTTATAGAGAAAGTAAATAAAAATAACATCAGTCATGCAACAGTTTATGGCTATCAGAGTGATAATGTTCAGGCTGACAAAAGCTACAAGGTTTACTCGTCCTGTGTTCCTAAATGTATAGAGTTTTATTTGACTTATAACCTACTTTTCTGTTACACACGGACTGCAGCTATAGTTGAATACACTATCAATGAATGTTCCCTAGAGTTAGTGTAATGTTGAATGTGAATTTTAAAGGCAGACCAACTGAATAAGAGTGCGATACAACCAGCAATGTTAGCAACATGTATGACAAGCTACAAGATGGACTCACTTCTGACGAGCAAGCAAATGTCAAAACCCATTTAAGAAGGAGGAAAAACGTAAAAACAGGGCAAGGCAAGTTCATTTGTATAGAACTTCTCAAGCATTCAGAATGCTTTAATGTGACAAAAGAGTCATCTGGCACATTTTGAAATAAATACACAATATATATATATATACATATCAATTAACAGAAGTAATCCAAGCTAGCCACACTGTCTCATTGCTTTTGCTTGCCTCTTTTAACCCTCATGTCGTGTTTCCTCAAAATCTGACAGATTTACCACCTTCATCAATGATAAATATTGTGTTATACCTTTGATTGCTTGATGCATGATTACCTTTCAATGTAGGCATTTGAACTTATAAAATTGCTGATCACTACTTTCATTGAATTTTGAGTTTTAGTCAACTTTTTTACATCTACAGTGTTCCTGGTCAAAAACGCCATAGGAAATGAATGGGTAATGATTATGATTACTAGATTATGTTCATCCGTCAGAGTACACACGGACAAATCAACAAAATGTTAATTTTGGAATACATGTTTATTGTCTTTTCTTTGTATATTCACTGCAGTAATTCATGTAAACCAGTATTCTGAGACATTGTTTAAAAGGGGTGTTAAATAAAGTTTGGTGATGAATAATGTTTAATCACCAAAGTAAGGGGGGAGAAACGAACTTGACAGGAGGGTTAAGTTAAAGGTCACCCATGCTATTTTTAGGCAATAGCATAGGTCTCAGATATATACATTTTTTTAAAGAACATGTCTACGAAGTGTTTTGGTCAAAAAAACAAACAGATCAAATTCTAGCCGTGCCTCATATCCCTCTATTTCACTTCCTGTTACAAAAGTAATGATTCTGGTTATAAACAGGTCTCTCTTGAGAATGAGACCCTGTGTCTCAATGGGATTTCCACCTGTATAAATAAAGGCTAAACAAAAAAATTACAATAAAGCTTTTTTTAAAGAGGGGGTGGAGCTTATGCCGGCTCATGTGGGACCTGGCAGATACTGTCTAAAATGCTGCGTTGATGAAACGCAAGGATTATTAGATCAAGGATTATTTCTGAAACAGTATGGAGCTCAAAGGCTTTCTCTCTTGCCGGTTATACCACAAGGTGAGTTCCTTTTCATTTCCTGCTTCTTCACACACATGCTCTCTCCAGTACAGGTTAGCTCTGAGTGTTAGTGATGCTAATGTAAACACCGACCATATTACATCCAAAACAGTCAGGCTTTGTTTCTGATAGCAACGTTTCTGATAGGGCCGTGGGTGTAAAGCCAGCCTACATTTCCGATATTACATCATATCGGCCGCAAATCTGGATCAGCTCCGTTGTAGCCCCGTTTTTAGAGATTTGGGTACGGAGGAAACGAGAGAGGGTTTTATTTTCTGACGCTGCGTGAGTTTCCTGACACACAGGGGACACATATTTATGTATAAAAGACATCAACAAGTGTATTTTGCTTGATAGGTCCCCTTTAAAGTAACACCCTGATTGATCTTAATTCTAACATAATGCTTTGAACTTCTTACAGAGCTTCCGATCTCTACGGGATATTTACAACATCCCCCATTAGCCACATATCTGAATCAGGATGTCAGTGCAGTTCTCCGGCTGGGAGGTGATTGACGATGGTGCTTCTTTTCCTGGTTTGGAGCTGAACTCGTCCCAGAAACCCAGAAGCAGGGGCGTCTACACCATGTACCACGGGACCAGCATCAAAAGCGCACGAGTCATCATTGCCAATGGTTTTAAACAGTCTTCAGATGGCATGCTGGGAATGGGCGTGTATGTCAGTCGTAATATAAAGAAGGCATCGGGTTATCCTTTGCTATGTAGTCCTACAGACCGTGTTGTCCTTCAGTTACATGTGCGCGTGGGCCGTGTCAAGCGCATTGACAAGGACAACCATCCCATGCAGAAAACATGGCACTCACATGGCTACGACACTGCTTGGGTGCCCCCTAATATTGGCCTCCTAGCAGTGCGCAGTGGCCTGGAGGAGGACTGTGTGTTTGATCCCAAAAGAGTGAAACTGGTCGGCATCGCAAAGGCACCAAATGATTCCATACAGAAAGAACTTAAAGGGCTGATCAAATCATCTGGAAGAGGGGGTGCTGGTGCTGCAGAGGTGTGTTCACTGTGTAAGAGAAAGACCCAGCAGGGCGCTCCACACATCAAGCAGAAGTGCTGGGAGTGTGGGAAAAACATCTGCATTCTCATGTCCAAGCATCTTTGTCCAGCCAAACCCTGACGGGGTGAGGGAAGGGGGGATTGATGATTAGATTTGACTCTCATATTGACTTATAGTGACATGTTTAAATATGTACTGCTCAATGTGTTTTGGGGATCTTTTGTAAGTTATCTATAACATCTCAATCCTGAATTGACTGTCATTTAAAGTAAACTGTAGCTTTTTCTTTTTATAGTTCTACGTATTATATATTGTATTGATTACGCTCTCTTAATAGTATACAATTTGTATGACATGCAAAGGACACATAACACATTACAAGGAAAAAATATTTTTTCTCTCCAACATTTGACATTCATTTTTTTGTGATATATTTTTATGTAAAACATGGGACTGAAATAATTTGCGAAAACTCAAGCCAATAAATGTCATTGTAATCTAATCAAACCCATCATGTATTTTTTCGTTTTATATGATTCCATGTTGTTAAGAGACTCAGTAAAGCTCATTTCTATAGTGATGCCTTCAGATAAAGCCGCAGCTTTACCATTTCCTACTTTTTATCAGTATGTTGTGTAGTGTGAAGAATATTAAGTGGCATTTGAAACACCTTTTTTAACAAGTCCCAATAGGACCTGCAAAGAAATAGGAGAGTCACAAAGTGGCTAAACATATTTTATTTAATGTTGTGCTCAAAGGAGAGATCGAGCATCCCAGCTGCAGTCTGAAGTCTAAGTGAAGATAAGGAAGTAAGAAAATAAACTTCGCCTTGCTCGTAGATAAGCTCCTAGGCATAGGCACACAATACGTCCTCCCCTTGTCTCCACATTTACAGTATGTCACTACTTTAAAACTATCTGATGTGGTAATATGATTTAAACAAACTAACCCTCTGAACTGAATATGCAATAGTAATCACAATATCCTCAGAGATATTGAAGGCCTAATTTTTAGAGCTAACCATACATATATAAAAACCTCAGAGGTCTCAAGCTCTGGAATTAAAGCAGCAGTTAGTGAAGTTCCTTTCCATGTCAGCTGATATTGTATTATTGAGTCGTGCACATGCTTTTTTGTATTACCTGCGATCTTTTTATGGCTTTGGGAGACAAGACATCATCAAAAACTTTGATGACCAGTACGGGTATCGAACCCGCGACCTTCGCGTTATTAGCACGACGCTCTAACCAACTGAGCTAACCGGTCACGAACACACTGCTNCCCTTTCTCTAATAGGCAAACCAATTTTACCATTGTCCACCCTGTCAGCAAGCCTTCCATGACAGGGTGGACATGGTACAAATTGAAATTATGGCAAACTATTTGTACCATGTCCACCCTGTCATGGAAGGCTTGCTGACAGGGTGGACAATGGTAAAATTGGTTTGCCTATTAGAGAAAGGGACTATAGCTTTCTGAAAATGCACATTTATAATCACTATGTAATTACAATGTATTACATCTTTGAATTTTGTCCATGACAGGGTGGATACATTTTGCTATTTCCATGTACTTGCAGTTCATTTATAAAAAGTGTGGGAGCTTGACGAACATCCATTTCTAACAGCATAACATATACTTAATACAATGAATATGAAGTTCAATGGAAAATCTCAGATTTTTTGGGGGGAAATCGGGAAGTCCCAAATGCACCGTAGACTCATCTATATAACTAGTTCACGTAACTGTATATATGTAAATTCACCTGATATAGAGATGAACTTACATTACATTTGTGTATTCTATTATCCCTGTGTATATTCGCATATACTGTGTACTATCTGTGTTTCACTTTTATTCAGTTACTGCTTTAACACCTGCATTTCCTAGGGATCAATAAAGGTCCATCTTATCTTATCTTATTTGTCAGAGGTTTCCAGTTCTAATTCCTCTAACATTTCTGAACCTTGTCTTTAAAGCTATATGACCAAGAATAATCAGTATTGAATAATTTTGCAAAGCTATAATAACACTCGCTGTTTTTGCTGCATATGCCACGAACAATGTGGAGCCACATCTTTGTATCGGAGAAAGAGCGCTTGATTTTGGCTTCATTTCAGCGCGCAGGTTGACGCTGCTGACGCTGCTCCTCCGCCATCTTCAACTTCCTATTGTTTGCATCAGACTGAGGCTGTCTGCGGTGTGTGTGTGAGAGCAGAAGCGGCCGCCGATTTATCACAAAATAGTAGATATACCCCTTTACGTTTGCGGTCGCTCAAGTTAAGCACAAGCCATTTGTATGTCATTGGATTAAAGAGCTCTCAGGACGCGACCACTAAAACCTTGACGATGGACGACGATCAACCCAGAACCTTGTGAGTAACATCGGGCCCCGTCTATGTCCTGGAATGGGAGAGAAGGATCGGTGTAAATACCGGCAAAATGTTTCCACGTTGTTGTTTCATTAAAAGAAAACCTTTGGTTAAGTCACATTTATTCCACATTGTAGTTTCAGGTCCAAAACAGCGACGTTTGTGAATACAATATTGCTTTTTTATTTGAACGGTAGGTTCTGTTTGATTTCGCCGTTCATATAAATAGACGGAACCACAGCTCGCTTGAAAAGGAAACTGAACGGCTAGCTAATGCTAGGCTAATGCTATGTAACACTAGCCAAAAATGCTAACGCAGCTAGCTAGTCCCTGCTTCTCAAATGCAACCGTTTTACTCGAATTATATGTGTATTTATAAAAATATACGTGTGTTATTAGGACTAGACATGCGTTAGCTTGTGAAAGGGATGTTATGTTATCCAGTAGCTGCCAATCCATTTAGCATGAGGCCCTCTTTTAACCGGCCAGCGTTAGCTTTAGCTAGCTGACAAGCCACGTCAACGCTGGGAGAAACGGTCCGGGACAGCGCCAATAAACCTGATCATATCCGAGTTGTCCGTGTGGAAATTAGACTACCCCGAGTAATATTAACCCTCCCCCCCCCTTCATTTTTGTTTTGTATTGTAAATATAAGGTATTGTTGTGGGTTGAGGCTAGCCCAGTTAACTAGCCTTTGTTTGCATGCTACTTCCTGTTTGACAAAGACTCAATTCCCCCCATCTCTTTCCTTGTTTGCAGGTATGTTGGGAATCTGTCCAGGGATGTCACCGAGCCCCTCATCCTGCAGGTCTTCACACAGATAGGACCTTGCAAGAGCTGTAAAATGATAGTAGATGTGAGTGTTATCTATATATATTGTTCCACGATAGGACATTGCATTCAACAGGGGCCTGAAATGTGGTGCTGCTGCATGTGAAAGTCTCAATCCACATTATGCTTGCTGTTGATTTCCCAATCCCAGTATATCACATCAGGCATTACACTCCAAATTAACAGTAGGTGGCTCTTGTCATCTGAAGTGATTAAAACGTCCCCCTTGCTGTGGACTTAATATCAGTTTTGTTTTCCCTTGACAGACGGCTGGAAATGATCCGTACTGCTTTGTGGAGTTCTATGACCACAGGCATGCTGCTGCCTCATTGGCAGCAATGAATGGAAGGAAAATAATGGGTAAGGTAAGCTATCGTGTCTACAGGGTGAGTTGCGATGGGTGGACTTTGGGTATGGGACATTTAGATGATGTGCCTTCGAAGACAAAAACAAAGAAAACAGTGGCCTGCTAGCATAGCAATAGGGAAAGCTCCTGGAGCCAGGGTCCAAATCGTATCTTGAGCATTACAGAGCCCAAGTGCTGTGCTTTAGTTTACAAAACCTGCACGCTAAAAGATGACAACATTTAAAGTTCTGTGAAGAGCTCGCGAAAGTTATGCTATCTAGAACAATAGAGCAAACTATTAACATTTGAAAAACCCAGGGGCCTTATCAAAGAATATTAAAGTGATGCTTAATGGGATTATGAATTCAGTGCTAAGGCATAAACCAAAACATTTAAATTACTTTTCATGCACTAAACAAGCAACCCCAATAGGTGAGTTGTGTTTAATCGGCATCCACTGCAGAGGTGTTTTGTAAATTGCACTTCTATCTTCAATTTTTGTTATGGGCTAATGCCGCATAATATAATGTTTAAAATAGCATTGATGCCCTCTTTGTTCTTTTCTTGCTAAGAAGTTCCTGCATCAAGTCATAAGATACTTTGGGCCACATGGTAGACCCATAGCAGTTTTATATTGAGTGGATTGAGAGCTAAAACATTAAATATAAGATTATTTTCTTTAACTATGTCTCCGGACATGCAAAGGAAACAAAGTTAGGTAATTGAAGTTTATTCCGCAGTTTTACGAGCTTATAAGTCAGCCTTTTAAAGTTGGAGTCTGTGATTGTTGAAGATTGTTGATATTTGATCACTTACCGTCCCTCTCCCTTCACCTGCCTTATCTCTTTAAACATCCACGGCCTTTCCTCTGCTGGGAAAGGGTTGTACCTGTATCAAATAGGTCTGCGCCTAGAATCATTTACTCTTCGTGTTTGCATTCAAATTATTAGTAACTTAGCCCGATTGACCATAAAGCATTTTTTTACAGAGCTTCAATCTTTTTCTAAAGTCAAATCCAAATGATTCTATTTGATGACATCTGAACTTTTGATTTTCGCACTGCACTATATAGACGCTCTTACACAAACAGTGCGTGCAATAGTTCACTTTTTGTCTTTATTAAAAACAGTCGCCAGTGGTCTAATCGTCTTTGGTCAAAATGTATTGATAAAAGATTGTTTAATTTTCTCAAATCCAATTATGTCTAACTGAATATTCTGCTTCCATCCATACTTTTCAGCGTTAGTGTAACAACATCTTTAATGCCCTTAAAAAGCCTTTCCCTTTGCTACATACGCACGAACGTCGTAACGCACCTTTTTAATAACAAACATTCGATGCTTCATTTCAGAACTTCTGAAAAAAAAAGCACAACTTTGAAATAAAGTAACATTCGGTATGGCCCTAGTGGATCGTTCCAATACACTTCGGTTACAAACCCACGTTTTTGTATTGACACCAGATTTCTGTCAGCACCGTACCGAAACACGTGAGAAATATTCGCTGAATTTGATTAAGCTTATCGGATAAGAATCACAGACTTCACCTTTTCAAGATAAATCATATACTCCGATAGTGGATGTTTCTTCTGTGAATGATGTAAACATACCCCACCTGTTCTGTTCTCTCTCTGCAGGAGGTCAAAGTCAACTGGGCCACGACGCCAACCAGCCAGAAAAAAGACACAAGTAGTAAGTACAAGGCGGCGTTGATGACACTTGATTATACTAAAAGTCTGGACAAATCTAACATGGAAGTCATTTGAATGAGTTCAAAGGAAGATGGTAATAGTAGTAGTCATGTAGGCATTCTCTTCCCATGTCTTGGTTTTAGCGAGATGCCTTTCCTTTAGTCCTTCCCCTATTAACAAACACAGATACCAATCAGCACTCCTCTGCAGGAAGTCACAATCTTGGTAATAGATGGCTGTATTCTCACAATGCTAAACTCCCTCATAGATCACTTTCATGTCTTCGTTGGAGACCTCAGCCCAGAAATTACTACAGATGACGTCAAAGCTGCCTTCGGTCCATTTGGCAGGATATCGTAAGTATCAGGATTTACTAATTTAAATCTCTGGACTATATAACGAGGAACTATTGTTATCCCTTGTTCCACCTCATACTAATAAAATGTAGATATCGTGGGTATTTCAATATATAGAGGGCAATGTTATATGTCTTTGAACTTGTAGTACTGTCATGCTTTGTGTTAACATACTCCTGGTGTGTTTGTCCACAGAGATGCTCGTGTTGTGAAAGATATGGCTACAGGGAAATCTAAAGGCTACGGCTTTGTGTCTTTCTTCAACAAATGGGTAAGTTGAGTCATTTTAGATTATTAACCTAAATCAAAGGTGGGAATCTTGTCGTATTAAATTAAACATGCTCCGAAAACAGTACGATTCTGCTTCTTTAAAAAAATGTAGGGCACCTTGTTTTGTTTCTAAAGGAATGTATTTTAGTTTTCTTTTAATGCTCCTGCTTTGAAATAACCAGATCCTTTTTGTTCTGTTTCAGGATGCAGAGAACGCCATTCAGCAGATGGGTGGTCAGTGGTTAGGAGGCAGACAGATCCGGACTAATTGGGCCACAAGAAAGCCCCCCGCCCCTAAGGCCACCTATGAAAGTGCGTTGTCATGGATGTCTCTTTTTCCTGGTGACACAGCATGTTGGATTCTTGTTTTCACAGTAGAAATGTCTCTTGTCTCCCCTAGCAGATAACTCCAAGCACCTATCCTTCGAAGAAGTAGTGAATCAGTCCAGCCCCAGTAACTGCACTGTGTACTGTGGCGGAGTCAGCACAGGACTGACAGGTAATTCATACTATCACTAACAATGCTAGCACCAGTGGGAGTATCATATGAATGCAGCAAAGAATTCAACCCCATTAAATGAATACCACTGCAGTGAAGCTGTTTGAAAACCAGTGTGCACTACTTGTAAGGTGAATCATGATTCCTACAAGTCATTCCTATGGTGGTGTGTTCAGTGTTTTTCAAGCAGCTATCGCCATTTTTAAAAATCCTGAATCCATATGAAAGCCATATCTTATATCCATATGTTCTCTCTCTCTTTCAGAACAACTGATGAGACAAACTTTTTCCGCCTTCGGCCCAATCATGGAAATCAGAGTTTTCCCAGACAAAGGTTATTCATTTGTGAGGTATGTGGAAGATTCATATTACCCAACCTTTGTTCTTTAAAGCGATGGAAAAGTATAACGTAATTGTTTTGATCCAGGTCATCAACTTATTGAGTAATTGATCTTTTTAAAAGTTATTTTTGGCGCAAAAATCTAATGTTTCGAACTTAACAAATGTGGAAATCTTGCTGCTTTTCAGTTTTTTTCACATTGATACATGTAGGAAAGGGTCATCAAATTAATCAATAACGAAAATAATTGTTAGTAGCAGCTTGAATTATGGCACCAACATTTCCTGGTAGCAGGAATAACTTTAATAATGACTTTGAAGTATTAATTGCATTTCCTGTATTAAAAAAAAAAGGCTGTCAGATGCTTTTATTGTTGATTACATACTTATAACAGATATTCATCCTCTTCTGAAGTCATTGCTAAGTATGTATCTCTGAACTCGGCGTGTCCCTCTGTTTTTGTGCTGCAGGTTTAACTCCCATGAGTCAGCAGCCCATGCCATTGTGTCAGTGAACGGCACCTCAATAGAGGGCCACATGGTCAAATGCTACTGGGGGAAAGAGACCCCGGACATGATGAGCCCCATGCAGCAGATGCCCATCCCCCAGGTGAGGACACCATGTACCGAACACCATGTATACATGATGCTTAAAGGAAGTCCCTACCTTCTGTACTCTTAGGAAAACGTGTAAAAGCAAATAAATCAAGCAAGCAATGAAAATACTAATACCCCACTATATATATTGTGATTAACACATTTTCTTATATTTATCGTTATATTGAAATACAATGTTTACATTTTTAGTTCAACTTTGTATATCTTTATGAATATTTGTATTTAAATGTATCTTTTTATTTAAGCTTATTCTTAATATATATTAATATACATTACCCCCCCAGGATAAATGAAGTTTTCTCTAATATTGACATTTCCACCTGGTGCATTACTACTTATAATTATTAGTTATTAAGCAAGTTGCATGTAGTTCCAGGTCCAAACCTTTTTTTGTACATACTGGTTGCCTGGTCTCTTTCTGCACTGCACATCATGTTATGCACATTTGTCTTTTCAGGACTAACTAAGTTAAAAGCAGACACATGCTGAAGGGTTGTCACATGAATGTATACATAGTTATAAGTAGGGATGCTCCGATCGCCGGAATCAGTATCGGCCGATCCGACCGAGTGGGCGGGGCCTATGGGGATCGTCCATTTAAAGTTATGTTTAAAACTCAGTTAATGGGGCTCATTCACTGGCGCTTCCACAAACAACAGCCAACATAATTATTACATTCAAATGAAGTTTGTAATGTATTCAAGTTTACATGAACTTTGGAGAATAACACGGGAGAAATGAGCGGAAGCGCTCTCTTTTCCTCTCTCTCTCTCTCTCTCTGACAGCCTGTCAGTATCTCATGCAGCTCACTGATCCAGTAATGAGTGACCCGACAGTGAAGAATAAATATATGTATAACTAGTTTAGCTTGTTCCAGAGGTAGATCAAATAGCTAAGTGTGTTAGGTCTAACTCTTAGTGTGTGTTGCTCCGCTCAGCGGGCGGAGCTGCAGGATTTCTGCTTCACACGCGTTGCTTACCGCTATTTTATTGTCATTTTCGGACACCTTAAAATACTGCCAGANTGCGTGTGCCAGGTGTGATCCATGTGGGGGGATGGGCACATAAGAGCGGGAAATGTGTGTGTGTGTGTGTGTGTGTGTGTGTGTGTGTGTGTGTGTGTGTGTGTGTTCCAAGTGAATCTACGGCCCCTTGGTGGCCAGTACATACATTATGTGGCCCCCACCACCATCCAGGTTGCCCATCCCTGATTTAAAGTGATGTTTAAAACTCAGTTAATGGGGCTCATTCACTGACGCTTCCACAAACAACAACCAACATCATTATTACATTCAAATGAAGTACCGTACATTATTCAAGTTTACATTAACTTTGGAGAATAACAAGGGAGAAATTAGCGGAAGCGCTTTCTTTTCCTCTCTCTCCCTCTCTCCTGACAGCCTGTCAGTATCTCATGCAGCTCACTGATCCAGTAATGAGTGACCCGACAGTGAAGAATAAATATATGTATAACTAGTTTAGCTTGTTCCAGAGGTAGATCAAATAGCTAAGTGTGTTAGGTCTAACTCTTAGTGTGTGTTGCTCCGCTCAGCGGTCCGTCTCAGCGGGCGGAGCTGCAGGATTTCTGCTTCACACACGTTGCAAACCGCTATTTTATTGTCATTTTCGGACACCTTAAAATACTGCCAGACTGGTGAAGCTTGTTTTGCCGCGCACAGAGAAAAGTACCTTACGTCATCATTTTACGTCATGCGATCTGCATTTTTAGAGAGCACCGATCAATCGGCAGAGAGTGAGTATCGGCCGATATCGATCAGCGGCCGATCGATCGGAGCATCCCTATTTAATACAATGCATCTTGTTTTGATCATCCACTTCATTCATTTGACTTGTATATAACAAATTCAAATGCATTTCCTAAAACAAGGGGTTTATGATTCTCCACTACTGTATATCTTAATTGTCTCTATATATTTAAATTATATTAAGATTAAAGATGCTGCTAAAACACATTTGATTAAACAATTTGTCTTTTTTTTGTGGCTTTTAGGCGTCTATGCATGGATTGGAATCAACTTCGTCCTCGGAAGGTTTAACCATGTGCATATCAGTAAGGAAACAAGCATGTAGTGTTTCAACGGTGTGCCATTTAAAAAAAAGTCTCCCACTCAAACATATCTTTGGTCACATGCTATACCTTCCCTGCCTGACTCTCCTCTCTCCTGTCACCCTCTCCAGATGGGGAAGCTGTAGTTGAGGTGAATGTCAGCGAGCAGCAGGAGGCGCTGGTGAGGAAAAGGACCGCCGGAGTCCTGGACATGGGCGGGGTCTCCACACAGATCGCATACGAAGTGCCCAAAACTGTAAGCTTTGCTTCTCCACAGCAGGTTATTATCCACAACCAATTCTTTTTTTTGTGCAGTCTTTGGTTTTTGTCACTCACCCTTTGTTCTTCTCCCTCCTTCCAACCTCTGTCATTCCCTGGTTTAAAACCCTGTATGCCTCATTTTGTCCCCTGGAGACGATCTGCTCTCCATCCATCACTATTGAAGGCGTACTGTAAGCCTGCTGCATGACCCTATAGCAGGAGATCAGACTGAGGTCGTTAAGTCATGTCAAAAAATCTGCCATATGTGTATATATATATATATATGTGTGTATATATATATAGAGATCATTAAATGTAATGGGAGCCCATGTGATTTATTTTGTGTTGTAGTGATTATGTGCAGGTTTGGCATACACTGCTTTTCCTTTTGACTCTCATTATTCCCTTAAACCACATGATGCCCAATTGAATTTCCACTGTCATCTTTTTATATAGTTTCAGCCATTGTTCTTTGATGTTTTGAGATATACTAGACATGACCATTTAAAATGTGCCCTTAAAACATGCTGTATAACAAAGTGATGTGTTGCATGTGAGCACTACCGTCATTTCAAAAATATGAAACCATTTTGTATATACTTTGGTGCATCGTGAGGGTTCCCAGCCTGACTTTTCTTTGTTCCCCCAGGAGGAAGTTGCCAAGAACTTACTGGCCGAGTTTAACTTAGGCTGTGACGCACATCGCACAGAGCATGTTTATCGTGTTTATGTGTCCACCTTCCTGGGGTTCGGAGGAAATGCAGCCCGCCAAAGATATGAGGAGAGTGTCATCAAAAATACTGCCACCCGAAACAAGTGAGACCTATAGTCAGATCATTGCTTGTAAATATCTCTTAAAGGTCACCTATTATGCAAAACCCTCTTCTTCATGTCTCTTCTACATCAACATGTGTCCCCTCTGTGGAAAGAGACTCTGAAAGTTTCAGGAACAAAGATTCTCTCTCTTTTTGTCCTGATCCATTTCTATAAAAACCT